ATTTCATGATCAACAGTATCGAATGCTTTTGATAGATCTATAAAGATTCCTAGAACAAATTCATTATTATCAAATGAGTAGTTGATGCTATTTACAAGATCTATGATTGCATGTTCGGTTGCATGTTGTTTTTGAAATCCAAACTGTTTTTTATTTAAGATGTTATTGTTTGTTAAATATATGTACAGTTTATTATAAATTATTCCTTCGAGAAGTTTTGAGAATACAGGAAGGATTGAGATTGGTCTATAGTTGTTTAGTAAATATGGTTCTCCAGTTTTATATAAAAGTACAATTTTTGCAATTTTTAATTTCTCTGGAACGGTTCCTGTTATAATTGAAGATTTAAAATTTTGAAGAGGGGTTTTTTTATTATCGGAAAGATATTTATTACTACATTGCTACAAATTTCATCAATTCTTGGTGCTTTGTTAATTTTTAAAGACTTTTTTGCATTTTCAAGTTCTTCATAGCTTAATCCATTGAAAATTAGTTCGCTATTTAGATCTGTAAGGTAATTTTCAAAGGAGTCATTTGTAGTTAAAATTTTAAACGCCATGTTTAGGCCTATGTTTGCAAAGAAATTGTTGAAGTGTTCGGCAATTGAGTTCTTATCATCGTGTTCGCTTTCATTTATAATGATTCCATCTGGTAAACTATTTGTTTTTATGTTTTTTTTCCCGATTATTTCTTTCATAATGTTCCATGTTTTTTTCATGTCTCTATTTGTTTTTTTAAGTAATTTAGAGTAGTAAATTTTTTTAGAATGTTTTTTTATTTTTTCGAAAAGATTTTTGTATTGTTTATAAGTAGATAGGTTAATCTCATTTCTGTTTTTCAAATATTTAACGTATAGTTTTTGTTTTGTTTTTGAAGATTTTTTAATACCGCTGGTGATCCATGGACAGATCAAATATTTTACTTTCATTTTTTTTTCTTTGATTGGAAAATGATTATTGTAGTGCTTTAGAAAAATATCTGTAAAAGTATTATATGCAGAGTTTGTGTTCCCAAGGTTACATTCTTGATACATCTTAACCCAATCTGCTGCCGATAGTGTGTTTTTAAAATTTTGAATTGAAAATTTATTTATTTTTCTTTTATAAGTTATTTTTTTCAAATTATTATTTACTCTTGTATCATTTTTTATTGTAAAGTAAATTGGAAAATGATCTGTTATATCAATTTTTACTATTCCTGCTTTTAAGGAGGTATCTAGAAATGAGGTTATTAGTATGTTATCTATGGCAGAAATAGAGTTTAAGGTTACCCGTGTGGGTTTATTAATAATTGGTAAAATACAATGTTGAAACATGTTATCAAAAAATAATTCAGTAATCGGAAACTCATTGTATTTTAAACAATCTATGTTGAGGTCCCCAATACAGATTAACTTTTTTTGTTCTTTATTAATTTTGGGAAAAATTTCTTGTAGATAATTAGAAAAAGTTTTAATATTACCTTCAGGTGGTCTATAGCAGGTAGAAACAATAATATTTTTTAACTTGGAGTTTATGATTTCAATTGTAAAGACTTCACTATTGGCATTAGAAATGGAGTGGTCTTTTCTTACTTTTATTGCTTGATCATTCCGAACATAAGTTGCAATCCCTCCTCCTTTTTTGCATATTTTTCTTTCAGAAGATATTAATTTATAATTGGGAATTTGAAAGTTAGTGTTATTTTGGATTGATTCGTCAGAACACCAAGTTTCTGTTAGACAAATCATACTAAATAAGTAATTACAATCAATTAGGAAGTGCTTAAGTTTGTCAAAATTTTTATTTATGCTTCTTATATTTATGTGAATTACTGTAAAATTATTTTTAATAGTTTCAAGTTCAGTTTTAAAAGTTTCAGTTTTAACATATCGAGAATCAAAATTATTCATTTGAAAAATATGCGTATCAGCGTCAATGAGTATATTAATAGCAGTTTCGAAAACATTAAAGCGCATTGATTCAAAATCTATTGTTTTGTTGATCATTGTTTTAAAATTTAAAATTGAAAACGCGTTTACTTAGTTAAAAAAAAAGTGTAGCGCTCTTTTTTAAAATCTCGTGTAAATATTTTATCATATTTTAAAATGGCGTATTTACCTTCGCTTCTTAGTTTTTTGACTTCTTCCCATAACTTTCTTCGATGATATATTGTTTCTTGAGCGAAGTCTTCATTTATGTATAGTCCAGTTTCTTTAAGTTGTTTTACTGCTTTGAGAATTTTGTTTTTGTCTTGGTAGTTCAAGAGTTTTAAGACTAATGTTCTTGGTTTGTTTTCTTTAAATTGTCCGATTCGATGAGCTCGTTCGACCACCACTTCACTAGGTATTTTCAATAGTGTTTTGAAAATGTCTTTAACAGCTTTTTTGCAACCTTCCCAACTTTCGCCTGGTGTTTCTTGTAGCCCATCAATTCTTAAGTTGTTCCTTCTTGATCTATTTTCTAGATCTATAGATTTTTTATATAATGAATTGATTTTTTTGTCATAGTATTTTTTTATT